AACCCTAAACCCCTAAACCTTAAATCCCTAAATCACTAAACCCTGAATCCCTAAACCCTAAACCCCTAAACCCTAAACCCCTAAACCCTAAACCCCTAAACCCTAAACGAAAGCAATGCCTGCGAAGCTCAGACACGAAGGGCCAACGCCGCAGGACGTGGAGAAGCTCTCCACCCTTCCCTGGGGTTTTTAGGGGTTCCTTTAAAGGGTGCTATAGGGATCCTAGGGTTCCTTTAAAGGGCAGGGTTTAGGGTTTTAGGGTTTAGGGTTTAGGGGTTTGGGGGTTTTAGAGTTTAGGGTTTAGGGGTTAAGGGGATTTAGAGTTCAGGGGTTTGGGGTTTTTAGGGGCTTAGGGTTTTAGAGTTTAGGGTTTAGGGGGTTAGGGTTTTAGGGTTTAGGGGTTTTAGAGTTTAGGGTTTAGGGGTTTGGGGCTTTAGAGTTTAGGGTTCAGGGGTTAAGGATTTAGGTTTAGGAGTCTAGGGTTTAGGGGTTTGGGGCTTTTAGGGTTTAGGGTTTGGGGTTTAGGGGTTTAGGGTTTTGGAGTTTAGGGCTTAGGGTCTTAGGGTTTAGGCGTAGGGTCTAGGGTTTAGGGGTTTGGGGTTTAGGGCTTAGGGTCTTAGGGTTTAGGCGTAGGGTCTAGGGTTTAGGGGTTTGCAGTTTAGGGCTTAGCGTCTTAGGGTTTGGGCGTAGGGTCCAGGGTTTAGGGTCTTAGGGTTTAGGGGTTTAGGGTTAGGGTTAAGGGTTTGGGGGTTTAGCCGTTTCGGGATTAGGGGTTTAGGGATTAAGGGTTTAGGGTCTAGGGATCTAGGGTTTAGGTTCTTTTAGTTCAGGGTTCTGCTGCATGGGCTGGAAGGCATGGAAGCTCTGGCTAGTGGGCCTCAGTTACAGGATCATGGGACAAAGTAGCTAGCAACTAGAGATATAAACAAGGAAACTATAGTGACCTATCTTGGCTGACTTCTGAACCCCTCCTAAAAGTTAAACTTTCAGCCTACTTGTTATAATGCATATAGAAACCCAAATGATAAAGTCCTAAGAGCCGACCAGATGAACTGCAGGCTATACCCGCAATGAGGATACTTGCAACCCGACCTGCGGGAGTCTCCTGATCCTCCAAGCATTTCAACTCTCAGAGACTGCGAAACCCCTCAATTAGGGTTTAGGGGTTTAGGGTTTCGGGTTTAGGGGTTTAGGGGTTTAGGGTTTAGTAGTTATACCTTCAGTTTATAGTAGGATCCCTGATATGATTTCAGGTATGTTCCTTAATTAACCCAGAGGCTCCGAAAAGACTACCACTATGGAATTAGGTCCCTAAAGCCATAATCGGTATGGTCTTTTGGGACCAAATCCCATAATGGTACTAGATGTGAGCCCTCTGGGTTAGGGTGTGCTTCGAAGCTGAGGGTTTCAGGATCTAGGGCTTAGGGTTTAAGGTTTAGGGCTTTAGGGCTTTGGGTTTAGGGTTTGGGGGTTCAGGTTTAGAGTTTTAATGGTACTATATGTGGACCCTCTGGGCAGGCGTCGTGCCTGGCGATGGCCCGCGGGCACCGCATAAAGGTGCGAGTGCCTGGCGTGAGGAAGCCCAGCAGCCAAGGCTCGACGCAGTTCTGGAGGACTCGTCTTCGTCCCTGGCGATCGCCCCGAACTCGGGCACCGAGTCCAGCCGCCGCACCCGGAGATAGTTCATCGCCATCTTCGACGGCGCGAAGGTGCCGAGGAGGGCCTCCCAGGCCGTCCTGTCGTTGAAGAAGATGAGCGCGGCCAGGCTCGTCCTGAGGTCGAGGTCTTCTGGCCCGCCCACCCTGACGAAAGGGACGGTATAGTAAGGGGTTTTGGAGTGGCCGGGCTCCTCTTCTGGACTCTGTGCTGTTCATAGGGCTTTCGATGCCAAAAGCCCCGGGTTTAGGGTTTAGGGTTTAGGGTGTGAGCCGACATCCTATGGCTGAAAGCCCTGCATCCTCGATTAGGTGTGAGGTTTCAGAAGTCTACGGAACCCTAAGCCTAAACCCTAAAAATCTACGCCCTAAACCCAAGCCACAAACCCTAAACCCCAAACCCTCAAACCCTAAACCCTAAAACCCTAAACCCTAAAACCCTAAACCCCAAAGCCCTAATCCCCAAACCCTCGAAACCTAGACCCTAAACGCTAAAACCCTAAACCCCAAAGCCTCGAACCCTAAACCCCCAAACCCCCAAACTCTTATAAACCCTAAACCCCTAAACCCGAGTGACCTAAACCCTAAACCCTAAACCCTAACCAGAGTTCTGCAACTCCTAAACCCGAATAACCTAAACCCTAAAC